CCCCGCCCTGCCGGTGCCCCTCACTCCTTCCCCGCAGCCCCTGCTAGCCCGGCTCTGGGCTCCCCAAGCCCTCCTAGTGCCCCACTCTCCTGCCCCACAGCCCCTGCTAGCCCAGTCCTAGGCTTCCCCAGCCCTGCTAGTGCCCCACTCTCCTGCCCCACAGCCCCTGCTAGTCCAGCCCTGGGCTCCTCCAATGCTGCTGGTTCCCCTCAGTCCTGACTTGCACCCCCTGCTAGCTCAGCCCTGGGGTCCCCCAGCCCTGCCGGTGCCCCTGACTCCCAACCCACAGCCTCTGCCAGCCCAGCCCTGGGATCACCTCAGCTTTTCTGCTGCACCTCATTCTTATCCCACAGTTCTTACTACCCCTGCCCTGCACTTGTCCATGTTCTGCCAGTGCCCTTCCCTCCAGGGCCCCCTTTCTGAGCTGTTATCCCATGTCCATCTCCCTATCTCTGCCAGCAGGGGCACAGCCTGTTCTGTGCTACCCTCCTGGCTTCCTCCGCAACTCCCACCCATGCACGGGGAATCCCATGCTGCAGCCTGCCCTAGTCCAGTGCTGGTTCCTGACCCGCAGCCTCTGCTAGTCCAGCGCTGCCCTGGGTTCCTCCAGTACTGCTGGTGCCCCAATCCTGACCTGCACCCCTTTGCTTTTCGAGGCTCAGAACAGAGCCCAAGGGTCCGGGGTCCTAGTACCCCTGGCTGACACCCACCAGTGCCCAGTCCTAGAACCAGGGGAGAAGCCGCAAGTCCTGGCTCCCACCCCCTGACTGCTGTAAGTACCAGACCTCCTCCTCCTAGAATCCTAGAATCTGAAGGCTGGAAGAGACCTCAGGAGGTCATCAAGTCCAAACCCCCTGTGAGAGCTGGGGGGAGAACCCAAGACCCCCTCTACCTTGTCTACAAAATGCTCCTTCACTAATGGTGCTGGCTCTGATAGAGGTAAAATACCCTTTGTACTCACCCCCATCGCAGCCGGTTTCCTCTAATTTACTCACCGAATTATTGGCCATGGTGGGCTGCCGTCCAGCCCTGCCGACTGGAGGGCTCTGTGCATGAGTGCCACTATGGTGTGTGTGTGTGTGTGTGTGTGTTGCATTGTTTGTCTGAAGTTTGTCGGAAATCCCCTCCTCATTTCCCAGCGGAGCCGCAGGTTAATTATACATTGTTATTGATCAAAGCCGCCCACGGGCGAGCGGGGAGTGTTGAAGCGGACGGGAAGGTGTGAAAACTGGCCCCGGTGGGGCGAATGTGGGGGAGGAAAAACAACTTTCATTCTTCGTCTCGACTTCCCCTTTTCGGCCCAAATTGCTGGCTTGTTGGTTTTCCCCAGAGATTCAGCCATGAGGACTGCAGAGCTCAGAAAAGATTGATGTGCCAAAGGGCTTTTTTGAGAGAACCTACCATGATGTGCCGTGGGCACCATGGCTTAACTGGCGAAAGCAGCTGCCTAGTGAACAGAATAGCCTGGGTTCAGCTCCCGGTGGTGCTTTGTTGTAGGAGAGTGGTGAAGAACCTAAGGCCACCCCGGTTTGCACTGAGCTCCTGCCTCACCATGTGGCTGGAGCTCACAAAATCTTTGGGGCTAGGGCCCCCTAGGCTCTTGTGGGTGATGGGAGCATCTTCGACTTTAACAGGGTTCAAAAAAGAGCTAGATAGATTCATGGAGGTTGGGTCCATCAACGGCTATTAGCCAAATATTAGCCATAACCCCAACTATACGTACAGTATGATGGGGGCTAATTTGGCTACGACAAATCAGTAAAGGGATCTTGGAGTTATCGTGGACAGTTCTCTGAAAACTTCCACACAGAGTGCAGCTGCGGTCAAAAAGGCAAATAGGATGCTAGGAATTATTAGGAAAGGGATAGAAAATAAGACCCAGAATATCTTACTGCCCCTGTATAAAACTATGGTACGCCCACATCTTGAATACTGTGTACAGATGTGGTCTCCTCACCTCAAAAAAGATATTTTGGCCTTGGAAAGGGTTCAGAAAAGGGCAACTAAAATGATTAGGGGTTTGGAACGGGTCCCATATGAGGAGAGGTTAAAGCGACTGGGACTCTTCAGTTTCGAAAAGAGGAGACTGAGGGGGGATAGGATAGAGCTCTATAAAATCATGAGTGGTGTGGAGAGGACGGATAAAGAAAAGTTATTTATTAGTTCCCTAAATAGAAGAACTAGAGGACACCAAATGAAATGAATGGGTAGCAGGTTTAAAACTAATAAAAGAAAGTTCTTCACACAGCATGTAGTCAACCTGCGGAACTCCTTGCCAGAGGAGGTTGTGAAGGCTAGGACTCTAATAGAGTTTAAAGAGAAGCTAGATAATTTCATGGAGGTTAGGTCCATAAAAGGCTATTAGCCAGGGGATAAAATGGTGTCCTTGGCCTCTGTTTGTCAGAGGTTGGAGAGAGATGGCAGGAGACAAATCGCTTGATCATTGTCTTCGGTCCACCCTCTCTGGGGCACCTGGTGGTGGCCACTGTCGGCAGACAGGATACTGGGCTAGAAGGATCTTTGGTCTGACCCAGTACGGCCATTCTTATGTTCTTATGTAAATACCAGGTTGGCTAGGAACGGTGTCCCTTGCCTCTGTTTGTCTGGACAAGGGCGACAGGGGAGGGATTATGTGATGATCCTCAGTTCTGTTCACTCCCTCTGCATCTGGCATTGGCCACTGTCAGCAGGCAGGAGACTGGGCTAGATGGACCTTTGGTCTGACCCAGTGTGGACACGCCTCCCTGGAAAGAGAAAGCTGTGGACCTGGGAGCTACTCATATGTTTCCTTCTGTGCATTATAGTCCCTTCAAGGAGTGAGTTAGTGTTTGTAACTGGGCTCAGACTCAGATCTCCTGGGGTCCTGGGGAGGGAACAGGGACTCAGGCAGGGGTGGCCCCTGGCAGGCCCCCACACCACTGTATTTACCTGCACCTCCTCAGATACAGGGGATCGCTGCTCCCATTGGCTGCAGATCGCAACTCCCAGCCAATGGGAGCTGCGATCGCCAGTACCTTCAGAGGTGCACATAATGGCCATGACCCACCAAGGCCACATCTAGAATGCATCCCTCTGTCGACAGAGGGATGCAAATCAAGCACGTCAAAATTGCTAATGAAGGCAGGATTTAAATAACCAGAGCCTCATTAGCATAAACCCAGTCATCACTTTTTTTCGAAATGGAGCTTTTTCCAAAAAAAACTAGGCAGCCTAGATGTGGCTGTGTCGAAAATAAAGCTTTTTGCGACAGATCCTGTATTCCTCCAAAAAATGAGGTTTACAGGATCTGATGAAAAAGGCTTTATTTTCGACAGATCCGCATCTAGACTGCTGGGGGGGGTTTTGAAAAAAAATTCCATTTCAAAAAAAGTGGAAGCCACGTTTATGCTAATGAGGTGTGGGCTATTTAGATCCCGGCTTCATTCGCATTTTTGATGTGCCTAATCTACATCGCTCTGTTGACAGAGAGGTGTCGTCTCCATATAGCCCAGGGTCTAACACTGGTGAATCTACTTCATTTTATTGTCCGCCCTTGCCCTAGTGGGTTGGAGAGGTAGGCAGGCCGACTGCAAGGAGTCCAAGCTGTGTAGAGCCCCCTAGGCAGCTGGAGTGTGTCCATCTTTGGGTTCAGGATGCGGCGTCTGAACCATCCTTGCTTGTCTCCCATGCTTTGCCTTTCTCTCTGACAGAGCTCCCGCAGGCCCCCTCGGTGTTCCCTTTGTTCCCCTGCTGTGGTGACATTGCAGCCAGCCCCTCTTGCGAGGTCACCATCGCCTGCCTCGTGACCGGCTATTTCCCAGAGCCCGTGGCAGTCAAGTGGAACTCTGGCACAGGGACCAACGGGACCAAGACCTACCCAGCCGTGGTGCGGGGCAGCGGCAACGCCTTTACTCTCGTCAGCCAGCTCACTGTCTGCCCCTGTGATCTGGAGCGTCACACCTACCAGTGCAGCGTGGAGCATGCACAGTCCAATACAAAAATCGATGTGGTCATCCCAAATGGTGAGTTACGTTGGGATGCCAGAGGATGAAGAAAAGACAGAGGCAGAAAGGGTCAGTCATAGAATCATAGAATATTAGAACCGGAAGGGACCTCGAGAGGTCATCAAGCCCAGTCTCCTGCCCTCACGGTAGGACCAAGCACCGTCTACACCATCCCTGACAGGTGTCTGTCCAATCTGCTGTGCGGGCAGGGGACAGGACTTCATGACCTCCCAAGGACCTTTTTAGTTCAATGATTTGATAATTCTGTCTTCCATGCCCTCTGATACTTTATTGTAAAAGCAAACATGATAAAACTAATAAAAGAAAGTTCTTCTTCACACAGCGTGTAGTCAACCTGTGGAACTCCTTGCCAGAGGAGGCTGTGAAGGCTAGGACTATAACAGAGTTTAAAGAGAAGCTAGATAACTTCATAGAGGTTAGGTCCATAAAAGGCTATTAGCCAGGGGATAAAATGGTGTCCTTGGCCTCTGTTTGTCAGAGGTTGGAGAGAGATGGCAGGAGACAAATCGCTTGATCATTGTCTTCGGTCCACCCTCTCTGGGGCACCTGGTGGTGGCCACTGTCGGCAGACAGGATACTGGGCTAGAAGGATCTTTGGTCTGACCCAGTACGGCCGTTCTTATGTTCTTATGATTCTGGGGGTATTGTGTCCATTTCTGGGCACCGCATTTCCAGGAAGATGTGAAGAAATGGGAGATGGTCCAGAGAAGAGCAATAAGAATAATAAACAGTCTAGAAAACATAACCTGTGAGGGAAGACTGTAAGAATTGGGCTTGTTTAGTTTGGAAAGTAAACTGAGAGGAGATGTGATAGCAGGTTTTCAAGTATCTAAAAGGGTGTCACAAGAAAGAGGGAGACAAATTATTCTCCTTGGCCTCTGAGCATCGGCCATTAGGGAATGTCAAGGTGGTTCAACACTGGAATAAATTGCCTAGGGGGGTTGTGGAATCTCCATCCCTGGAGATATTTAAGAGCAGGTTGGACAGATATCTATACAGGAAGATCTAGACTGTGCTTGGTCCTGCCATGAGGGCAGGGTATTGGACCTGGTGACCTCTCGAGGTCCCGTCCTGTTCTAGTGCTCTATGATTCTATGACAGAGCCAGAGTGAGAGATCTATGGAGTGGTGCGGAGGCAGGAAGGAGGGAAAGCGAAACCTTCCCTCTCTTTGTCGTCATTCAGGGCTCGAGCGCATTGTGGAAATGCAGTTGATCCATGCCTCTGATCCACTCCCCACTTTTTCTCTCTGTTCCCAGTGTGCGAGGTGCTGGTTCCGCCTGAGGTTCGCCTCCTGCCCCCCTCCTGTGAGCGTGACACCATGGAGCAACATCTGGAGCTGGTTTGCCTCCTCCTGAGGTTCACTCCGGGCACCGCGAAAGTGGAATGGTTGGTGAACGGCGAGAAGAGACTTCCTACCACAGACTTATCCTTCGGGAAGGGCACAGACAAGTCCTACACGGGCCAGAGCCGACTGAACGTCACCAAGGAGAGCTGGAAGACCGGGGACGTTTACACCTGTAAAGTCACACATCCATCGACAGGAAAGGAGTACTTCATGCAGAACACCAGCAAGTGCTTGGGTGAGGAGTTACGGCCGCGCGTGGTGGGGTGGGATGAAGAGTTACTCAAAACCTGCCTTTGTCAGGTTTTGGGCAATAAAATAGCAGCAGTCCACCTGGTGGGCAGCTGCCACTGTATTTGCCGGCACCTCGGCAGGTATGGGTGATCGCAGCTCCCATTGGCCAGGAAGGGTGATCCACAGCCAATGGGCACTGCGGTCCCCTGTACCTGCAGAGGCACAGGTAAATACTGAGGTGTAGGGATCCACCAGGGGCTAATCTTGGCAGGCCAGATGTGCTCTGCAGGCCGGTATTTGCCCACAACTGGCCTAAGAGGAGGCAGGCCTCTGCCCACATCCCAGGTTGGTGGATGACATAGAAATACAATAGCGAACTGGATTTTGGAAGTGGGTGTGGAGAGGGTTGTCTGCTAAAACAGAAAGGCTGTGTCTACACTGGCCACTTATTCCGGAAAATCAGCTGCTTTTCCAGAATAACTTGCCAGCTGTCTACATTGGTCCCTTGAATTTCCGGAAAAGCACTGACGATCTCATGTAAAATCATCAGTGCTTTTCCGGAAAAACTATGCTGCTCCCGTTCGGGCAAAAGTCCTTTTCCAGAAAACTGTTCTGGAAAAGGGCCAATGTAGACAGCAGAGATTTCTTTTCCGCAAAAAAGCCCCGATCGCGAAAATGACGCTCGGGGCTTTTTTGCGGAAAAGCGCGTCTAGATTGGTCACGGATGCTTTTCCGCAAAAAGTGCTTTTCCGGAAAAGCATCCTGCCAATCTAGACGTGGTTTTTCCGAAAATACTTTTAACGGAAAACTTTTCCGTTAAAAGCAATTCCGGAAAATCATGCCAGTGTAGAGGTAGCCAAAGTGTGGTTGACTGGCTAGAGAGATACCTTGGCAAGATGGATGAATGAATGGAAGGAAAGATGTCTGTGATGGTCGGATAGAAAGATAGGTAGGATGGATAGATGGATGGAGAGGGAGAAAGGTGATGCGTATATGGGGATAATTAAGAATAAAGTAATGGAGACAGATTATGGAGAAGAAAGGAGAGATGGATAGGTAGAAAGAGCTACGGGATTGTTAGATAACTAGAAAGAGGCATGGTTCCCAATGGTTTCTTTCTTCTAACCCTAATTTAATAGCCCATTAAATTCAGGGAGCACAAAATTAGATTCACAACAGTCTCTCTAATCTTCTGCAACACCATCACTTTGTGACCCAGGGAATTCATGTTGTTTTCTGCTCTTCTTATCCTACTGTAATGAGGTCCTGTGTGTTTCCTCAGCCTGCTCCAGCAAGTCAGCACCTCCCTCCGTCCATGTCACCCAGCCCACCTATGGGGACCTGCTTGGGGAGACAGCCTGGGTGATGTGCGTGGTGGTGGGCTCTCACTTGGCGGAGGCTCAGGTCTCTTGGGACGTGGACGGGAAAGCCAGTCCCGAGGCACAGAAAGGGACCCTAAATCAAGCCAACGGGTCCCACAGCATCACCAGCACCCACAGCATAACCTTGGAGCAATGGAAGAGCCGGACAACTTTCGTGTGCAAAGTGAGACTTCCTTGCTTTGAAGAAGTCACCCAGGAGATGCCACTCATGGACACAAGTGAGTGTGTCTATGTTTCACACCTTACTCCTCGGGCAAACTTGGCCAATGCGTCTTGACTCTCCCTCCATGCCTCAGCTTTCCAAGAGGGGATAAGACTCTCTCATTCCTCTCTTTCTTGCCACATCCATTTATCACCTCCCATGAGGGGGTCTTGGCTGGGGCCCGTAGACACCACCACTCCAATAGAAATGGTGAAAGTTCTCAGGCAAACTTCTCCAGTGGAAAAATGAAACCCCGGGAACTTACCAGAACCCATCTTGGTGAGGCGGAAAGACAGGAGAATCTGGATCAATGGTCCCTCTAATTTTTTTCCATCCATATGCAGAATATATTTTATGATGTGCAGCCGAGGCATGTACTGATGTGCACCCCATAGAAGCACACATATGCAGAATATATTTTATGATGTGCAGCCAAGGCATGTGCCGATGTGCACCCCATAGAAGCACACACGGCCAGGTGCGGGTGCTGTGGGTTCACTGCTAAATCAGCTGGGCAGCATTTGAATCTCTCCTGGGAGGTTGCCCATGTACTCGGCTTACTGGTCCGAAGGATTTCGTTCCTTGGCTTTTTCAAAGCTGTGATTGAGCCTTGAGGCTGCTGAAAGGCAGGGGATATAAAGAAGAGATAAGATGACCCGTACAAGTTAGATTCACTGAGTCTGAGGCCAGAAGGGAATCTAAATAGACCAGTGTTTCTCAACCAGTGGTACGAGTACCTTTAGGGCTCCTCAAGAGAAGTCTGGGGGGTATGTCCACACAACTGAAATCCGAAGAAAACTGAATTTATCAAGCCCAGTGATAGGTCTCTGACCTAAACGTCTTCTAGAGACACATCGGCTGTGTCTACACTGGGCCACTTATTCCGGAAAAGCACTGACGATTTAATGTAAAATTGTCAGTGTTTTTCCGGAAAAACTGTTCCGGAAAAGGGCCAGTGTAGACAGCACAGTAGTGTTTTCTGCAAAAAAGCCCAGATCGTCATTTTCGCCATCGGGGCTTTTTTGCAGAAAAGCGCGTCTACATTGGCAGGATGCTTTTTCGGAAAAGCACTTTTTCGGGAAAAGCGTCCGTGGCCAATGTAGACGCGCTTTTCTGCAAAAAAGCCCAGATCGTCATTTTCGCCATCGGGGCTTTTTTGCAGAAAAGCGCGTCTACATTGGCAGGATGCTTTTTCGGAAAAGCACTTTTTCGGGAAAAGCGTCCGTGGCCAATGTAGACGCGCTTTTTCCGGAAATACTTATAACGGAAAACTGTTCCGTTTTAAGCATTTCCAGAAAAGGGTGCCAGTGCAGACGTAGCCATTAGTGTAGATCTGGACTCATCAGAAGATGGAGAATCCACCTGGATAGTTTGTTCTGATCGTTTTCTTGCAATATTGGTGCCTTGCGAGGAATTGAAACACTTTCGGTTTCAACTTCTGGGTGTTGCATCATGTTCAGCTTTCTCTGTTAAATTAAATATCAGTATAGTAGCAGGCATTTTCTCCTGGGGAAGATATTTATACACTAACCAAGTGGATTTCTGGTCTTCAGTTTGCCCAGAACTGAAACAACCTAGCTCCCTCTCAGGCTATGTCTAGACTATGGGGATTTTTTCAAGAAAAAGCCACCTGCATCTAGACTGCCACTGTGCTCTTTCAAAATTAAATTGAGAGAGCGCGGCTGTTTGGTTTTTTTTGACAGCGGTAAACCTCAGTTTACAAGGAAGAATGCCTTTTTTTGAAAGAGCTCTTTTGAAAAAAGCTGTTCTTGACCGCAAACAGGGCTTTTTCAAAAGAGACTCCAGATTGCTCCTTTCGAAAAAGCGGATTGCTTGTTTGAAAAAAGTTGCAGCTCTCTAGACGATCTCTTTTGAAAGAAGCATGTAGTTTAGACGGACCACAGTTGAGTCTCGCTTCAATTTATCAAAGCACAAAGTCCTGAAACTGATGCAAAAAAAAATCTAGAGAGTTTAATAAATCATAAAATCATAGAATCCTGGGGCAGGCAGAGTCTTCAGGAGTCAGCGAGTCCAATGCCCTACCCAAAAGAAGACCAACTTCAGCTTAATCATCCCAGCCACGGATTGGTCAAACTGGGTCTTACAAAACTTTTTGGGATGCAGATTCCACCATATTTGTTTCCTTTTATTTACCTTCTGCATGGTGAGTCGGGAAGGAAATGGGTGTAGATCATGTTTTCAAGCTCCATCAATGGCTATTATCCAGGATGGGTAAGAACAGTGTTCCTGACCACTGTTTGTCAGAGGCTGGGAATGGATGATGGGGAGGGATCACTTGATGTTTCCCGTTCTATTCACTCCCTCTGGGGCAGGGCTACTCAACACGTGCCCTGCGGGCTTCATATGGCCTACAGCCATTTGTTTGTGGCCCTTGGTGCAGTCTGGTTTATGCAGGGCTCACCATGTGGCCCGCGGGTGGGATCCTCTGAACACGGCCTCCACTGGGAACCCGCTCCACAACGGCAAGTCAATATAAAGTCTTCTGTTGAGATGTGTTTTAGTAGTTAAACTCCTGGACTGTTGTTGCTCATTGGGTGTGTCTAGACTACAGGGTTTTGTCGACAAAAGTGGACTTCTGTTGACAAAACTATACCTGCGTCCACACTGCCTTTGAGTTATGTCGACATAACGTCGACAAAACTCAGCAGTTTTGTCGACATATGTAAACCTCATTCTATGAGGAATAACGTCTTTTATCGACAGAGTTCTGTTGACAGAAGGCATTATTGCATCTACACTGTCCTTTGCGTTCACACTGTTATGTCAACAAAGCGGCTTTCTTTGTCGACAGAACTGGATGTAGTCTAGACGCTCTTTGTCGACATAAGCTTTGTCGACAGATACTGTCGACAAAACTTCTGTCGACAAAACCCTGTAGTCTAAACACACCCATAAAGAGGTGGAAATCGGGTCAATATTGCAGAACTGACTTAAATGAGCCCTGTGTGTTGTGTAGCCTTGCCTTAATCTTTGTATTCATATTCGTCAGTGTGAAAGAAGCTATTTGCATATATTTGCATGGATATTTACATGGATATGCAACCACACTTACATTGCAGCCCTCGGCATGTGCTGTGAGTATCATTGTCGCCCTCAGGCTTTCCAAAGTTGAGTAGCCCTGCCCTGGGGCATCTGGCATTGGCCACTGTTGGCAGACAGGACACTGGGCAAGATGGAACTTTGGTCTGAACCAGCATGGCCGTCCTTATGTTCTTACGGTTTTTCTTTGCAGCCAATGAGGACAGATCTTTCCTAATTTGAATAAATGAAAGCTGAGATTCCCTGGTCATCACACAAGCTGGGAAAAACCCAACAAATACCACAATAATTATGTCCAGTGTTGGCCATCTCTTGAGTGCTTCATGGAGAGGCTTAAGTAGATGCCTACTCAGTCCATGGGAGAAAAATTAGCTTCATCTCACGTCTATGTCTCTTCCAGCCTACCCTGACCACGAACCGACTGTCTCAGCCGCAGTCTCTTGCCCAGACCCAGAGGAAACTCCAGGGAAGATAGATTCTTACATGCTGCTCTGTGATGTCACTGGATTCTTCCCACCTGACATCAGTGTCCGCTGGGAGTACAATGGCTCCATGGTCCCTGCATCCCAGTACAGCAACAGCCCCGTCGTCGGAACTGGCCAAGCCTACTCCACACAGAGTATCTTGCGTGCATCCGGGCTCGAGAGGGGAGGAAAAGCTGGGCCACAGTATTTCTGCCTGGTGCAGCACGTGTCACTGAATGGAACCTTGAAGGTCAAGGTGAAGCCAGAGAATTGTGAGTTGAAGCGTCACAAGGACAACTTCAGGGTTATTCCCAGCAACAATGTCTGGGGGTCCCATAGTCCCCCGGGGCTAGGGAGGGGTTTTCTCTGGCTGTCAGAGCTTGCATCCATGTTGACTTGCAGTGAGAGTTGGGTCTCAATCCATGAGAGACCTGGGGAGACCAGCACTCAGACTCTCATTGGGGTGTCTAGTGGTTAGAGCAAGGGAGTCAGGAATTAGCATGGTCAGGTCATTTCTCCTTTCTGTATCCTGGCTGCTACCTTTGTCTTCTTCTTCGAGCTTATGAATTTCAGGCTGACTTGGGCAACCTTGGTGGATCTGTCTGAGGCTATGTTTTCCCTCAGTGGGGCTTTCTCCCAGTTAAGCTGAGATCTTCCTATTTGCTCATGGTTACCCGGAGACCCAAATAACCACAACGGGACCACAACTCCCTGGCTGGGTTGGAAAGCCTCCATTGTTTGTTCCAAATGCTCCATGAGATGAAGGTCCCACTTCTTCCATCAGGGAACCCAGTGCCCTATTCCCCACCCCAATGACCCTCAGCCCCTTCCCCAAATAACGCCTGGGATTGGCATCCCAAGACATAGTCATGTAGTTACAACCTGGTGCCTGTTGAGAATTCACCTAGCCCTCAATGCTACCTCATGCCCCCAACCAGGTGGTGGCGACTGTACCCCACAGGCTGTGGAGGTCTTTCTACTTCCCCCATCCCTGGAGGACCTCTACATAGCGCATACTGCCAGCATAACCTGTTTGGTAAGTGGCATGGAGACCCACGACACCCCGGAGTTCTCCTGGACTCGGAAAAGCGGGGGACCACTGAATGAAGTCTCCAGGGTCTCCGAGCTGCAGGAAAATGGCACCTACAGTGCAACCAGTGTCCTGCAGGTGTGCGTGGAGGAGTGGCAGTCAGGGGAGGAATTCACCTGCTCCGTGAAGCACCAAGACATCCCATCAGCCATTGTCAAGACCATCCATAAGAGCAAAGGTAAGAACTCGGTCTTTCTCCTGTAGGTGGTGTCATGCCCAATCTGGTTGTCTCAGAGTGTGGCAAAAGGGACAGGGGATCCTTGTGTTTCTAGGAGGCACTAGCTCTGATCCAGCTTCATCTCAGTGAGGTGGGGCATTGCACATTTGTGGCTGGGATGAAATCTGCTGTTTCCTTGTGGCAGAGGTCTCTCTCCGGGCCCCTTCTGTCTACGTCTTCCCTCCTCATGCGAAGGAGCTGGCGCTCCAGGAATGGGCCACCATCACCTGCCTGGTCTCTGGCTTCCAGCCCAGAAACATCTTGGTGTTATGGACCCGGAAGGACAAGCCCATGCCAGAGGATGCCTATACCAACATTGGCCCCATTCGGGAGGCCGGGGTGGAGGAAAGCTACTTCATCTACAGTAAGCTCAGAATCCAGGCCTCTGAATGGCAGAAGGGGGACACCTTCTCCTGCATGGTGGGGCATGAAGGCCTGCCCAAGATCTTCACCCAACAGAGTGTGGACAAAGCCTCCAGTAAACCCACCGCCGTCAATGTCTCTGTGGTCTTGTCTGACACTGAAGTTGCTTGCCACTGAGGAGCAGTGCCCTGTGAACTTCGCAGGGTGTACCGGAGATGGCCACAGTGCCTCATGGAGCTGCGATTCTTCTTTACTTGTATGTAAAACTGCGAGAGCTCTGGTGTACAGAGTGTGGCTGTATGTGGAATAAGCAGGAATAAAATTGCAACATCCTAGGGTTGTGTTCAATTGGAAGTCTTCTTCTTGCACAGACGGCCCCTATGTCTTAGCCACCAATGCACTCTCCTTCCTTTATCCTCTATCTCCATCCACCAGCCTTCTTTCTGAAGTATCTCTGACTAGCCGCCCAGTCTCCTTTTCTTATCCGTTATCTAGATTTATTTGTAAAGTCTTCCTTCTGCAGGATCTACCCATCCATCCGATCTTCAGCCATACCCATCTATTTTTCCCTCTTCACTAGCTGTCCATTTTCCTATCCACCTGTAATCTTTCTGTCTGTATTATGTCTATTTATCTAGCTTTCCCTTGACCATATGTTACTTTGTCCTTCCTCGTCCAATTTCCATCCATCCATCCAATTGCCCAGGAATCATCCATCCACCTATCCATCCACCCATCCATCCAATTCCCCATGAATCATCTATCCATCCATCCATCCATCCACCCATCCATTCAATTCCACACGAATCATCCATCCATCCATCCATCCATCCATCCATCCATCCATCCATCCATCCATCCATCCATCCATCCATCCATCCATCCATCCATCCATCCATCCATCCATCCATCCATCCATCCATCCATCCATCCATCCATCCATCCATCCATCCATCCATCCATCCATCCATCCATCCATCCATCCATCCATCCATCCATCCATCCATCCATCCATCCATCCATCCATCCATCCATCCATCCATCCATCCATCCATCCATCCATCCATCCATCCATCCATCCATCCATCCATCCATCCATCCATCCATCCATCCATCCATCCATCCATCCATCCATCCATCCATCCATCCATCCATCCATCCATCCATCCATCCATCCATCCATCCATCCATCCATCCATCCATCCATCCATCCATCCATCCATCCATCCATCCATCCATCCATCCATCCATCCATCCATCCATCCATCCATCCATCCATCCATCCATCCATCCATCCATCCATCCATCCATCCATCCATCCATCCATCCATCCATCCATCCATCCATCCATCCATCCATCCATCCATCCATCCATCCATCCATCCATCCATCCATCCATCCATCCATCCATCCATCCATCCATCCATCCATCCATCCATCCATCCATCCATCCATCCATCCATCCATCCATCCATCCATCCATCCATCCATCCATCCATCCATCCATCCATCCATCCATCCATCCATCCATCCATCCATCCATCCATCCATCCATCCATCCATCCATCCATCCATCCATCCATCCATCCATCCATCCATCCATCCATCCATCCATCCAATGTCCATGAATCCTCCATACATCATTCCAGCCAATTTCCCAGGAATCATCCATCCATCCATCCATCCATCCATCCATCCATCCATCCATCCATCCATCCATCCATCCAATATCTTCAGTGTCATCTATCTTTGCTTTTACAACATCCATCCATTCCTCCATCCAATGTTATGTCTACCTGTCCATCCCTTAGAAGTGACTTGCTATTGTTCATGATACAGCAGCTCCTAGATGTCCTGACTGGAGTTTGGGCCCCATTGTGAAGGGCATGGCTTGTACACAGAGAGAAAATGTCTTGGTCCCAAGAAGCAGCCAGTCTAAATCAGGAGTGGACAATTAAATGGTGGCAGTTCACCTGGGTTAGCTCCTGGTGGGCCACTGCTCCTATATTTACCTGCCTTTCCATGGATACTGTTGATTGCAGCTACCATTGGTTGGGAATGGTGACCTGCAGCCAATGGGAGCAGTGATTCCCCCATACCTGTAGAGGTGTGGAGGCTGCCAGGGGCTTACCCTGGTGAAGCAAATCCAGCCCATGGCCTGTATTTGCCTACCCCTGGTCTAAAGAAAAAGAGGTTGGGAGGGAATATTTTGGCATAAAGAGTCCAAAACTGAGGTGCTCAAAGGAACATCTCATAACCCATCTACCCCTGGAATTATGAATGTATATCACTGGCACTTACTTCCACATAATGGGAGAGGTGGGAATAGAGCCCTGATTCCCCACCTCCAAGACCAGAAACTTGGCATCAGAACCCTTAGGAGATATGCGCCCAGCTCACCAAATGTCAGAGCCGCCCGGCATCTGCAGGAGTGAGGCGGCAGGGGGAGACCAAGAGAGGAGCCTTCATTCCCACCAGCTCTGCTCCTGGGTGTATGAGTGAGGGTGGAGGTGGTGGGGGGGAGAGAGGAAGAGATTGTACTTCTGAACATGGCTCTGGGGAATCTAACCCTGGAATACAGACTCTAGTTCTGGGGTCAAGATGCAGTGATAGAAGCAGTAACAGAACTATTAGGAATGGGACAGATAATAAGACAGTAAGAAACATAAAGCCCCTATATCAGGCATGGGCAATAAAATAGTGGTGTTTCACCAGTGTTTGCCCCTGGTGAGCTGCTGCTGTTATATTTACCTGCACCTCCACAGGTACAGACGATTGCAGCTCCCATTGGCTGGGAACAGTGATCCACAGCCAATGGGATCTGAGATCCTTGCAGAGGTGCAAGTAAATAAGGTGACATGGGAACCCAGCAGGGACTAACCCTGGCAGACCAGATGTGGCTGATGGGTCGGTATTTTCCCACCGTATGTAAAACCCAGGCCCACCCACGCATGGAATATTGCATGCAGTTCTGATAGCGCCTTCACAAAAGAGAGAGAGGAGAAATGAAGGGTGGCTAGAAATGAAGGTGTGCCGATCAGAGCTTTGTATGAGGAGGGGTTAAAAAGACTGGGATGGTTGAACTTTGGAGACAACTTGGGGGGATCGTATAGCATTCTAGATTGTGGGTGGGATGGAGACAGTGAATCGGGAAATGTTATTTTCACACAAGACCCAGTCATGACCCCACAGAATGAATCATCAATAGGCTTAAAACAAAGAACTTCTTCACTTAGGCTGTGTCTAAACTACATGGCTCCATCGATGGAGCCATGTAGATGAGGGTTGTAGGCAAAGGGAAATGAAGCTGAAATTTAAATAATCGCGGCTTCATTTACATTTACATGGCGGGAGCAATGTAGATTTGTTTGTTCAGCAAAGGGAAATGAAGCCACGATTTAAATAATCGCAGCTTCATTAAAATTTAAATGGCTGCCGCACTGAGCCGACAAATGGCTGATAAGCTGTTTGTCGGCTCAGCGCCCTAGTTTGGACGCTCCCGCGCTGACCTGAAAGCCCTTTATCGACCTCCCCGTTATGCCTCGTAGGATGAGGTTTACCGGGGATGTCGATAAAAGGCTTTCATTTCGACAGGGGAGCGTCCAGACTAGCACACTGAACCGACAAACAGCTGATCAGCTGTTTGTCGGCTCAGCGCGGCAGCCATGTAAATGTAAATGAAGCCGCGATTATTTAAATTGCAGCTTCATTTCCCTTTGCCAAAAAAAACAAGTCTACATGGCTCCGTCATGGAGCCATGTAGTTTAGACATACCCTCAATGTGCTGTCAACCTGTGGATCTCATTGACTAGGGATGTTGGGAAGGCCAGAAGCATAACTGGGAGGAGGAAAGGATTAGACCAAGTTCATGGAGGATAGGTCTAGATCAGAGCTACTCAACTTTGGAAGCCCTGAGGACTACAATGATACTCACAGCACATACCAAGGGCCACAACTAAAGTGTGGTTGCACGTTCATGCAAATATAAATGCAAATATATGCAAATCGCTTCTTTCACATAATGCCCCAGCGCTCCCGGCACCTCCTCCCTGGGGGCTAGAAATGCTGATACTATGTACTCGTCTGTTCCAGCCTGCCCGTCGGCTTGCATCTTTCAATGCTCACCCTTTTGGGGAGATGCCTCGCCGTTGTGGAGTGTGTGCCCAGTGGAGGCCATGTTCAAAGGATCCCTCCCACCGGCTCTGTGTTGAACCCCCTGCATAAACCCAAACTGCTCTGCAGGCCGCAAACATGTTAGATGATTAACGATGTGACTCTGTGCTCTTGGGGTGTGTCTAGACTGCAGGGTTTTGTCGACAGAAGTGGACTTTTGTCGACAAAACTATACCTGCATCCCCACTGCCTTTGAGTTATGTCAACATAACGTCAACAAAACTCAGCAGTTTTGTCGACGTATGTGAACCTCATTCTACGAGGAATAACACCTTTTGTTGACAGAGTTCTGTCGATAGAAGGCATTATTGCATCTACACTGTGCTTTGCATCCACACCGTTATGTCGACAAAGCGGTTTGCTGAAGTCTAGATGCTCTTTGTCGACAGAAGCTTTGTCGACAGTATCTGTCGACAAATCTTCTGTCGACAAAACCCTGTAGTCTAGACATACCCTCAGAGAATGAGAGGAAAACACACAGCTTGCATGCATTCCTCTCACTCCTGGCTGAGCAGGGGAGAGAATAGAGGCATACGTAACTCCCTGCCACCTGGCGCCTTTGGATGAACCATTGGTCCGATGGATTATGGCCATTTTTGATATCCACAGGTAGAAAAAGGAGGTTGAGAAATTGGAGAGGGTGCAAGAGTGATCTAGAAAAATATTGAGCAGGTAGAAGAAAATATCTGCCAGTGAGAGGTGGAAGGAGCCAAATAGTGTTAGCTTAAGAAACAGACATCCAAGAGAGGGCTTCATTGATATGGACAAGTGCCTTCAAGGAGTGAGGTGCTGAGGTCCCAGGGGGCCACACTGAGATTGCTCAACTTGCAAAAAATGGGGCACAGAATCCAGTAGTAGTCACTCTAGTACAAGGGTGATCAATAATATGGAGGAAGTTCACCACGGTTAGCCCCTGGTGGGCCACTGATGCTATACTGACCT